TGAGAAGACCAGGAGAGAAAACTTGTAAGAATGGAAGAAGATGTAAGGAAGAGTCAAGGCTGTCTCTCTAGGGCTTTTCTGATTTCCTAGGAATGCTATTCGCAAAAGACCAAAGTAAGCTTGGGGAGGCAAACAGTGAGTTCAATTGTTGAGGTGAGGTATCTGGCCTGTAGATACAGTTTGAAATTCCAGTTGAGCACAAAGGAAAGTTGTAAATTGCAGTCAGCTATGGAACTGTGAGTCAGTATCTCGCAGGGGAAGTTAAGGCTGGAGAAGGAAGAAATCGTCCAGGAAGATCTATAAAATGAGAGAAGTAAGAGGTGGACCATTGCAAAGATTCAGAATCATTTGGAAAGTTAGGAATTTGAAAAGCATGACTGGGTTAGAGAGGTTGTTTGGCTCCATTTAAATCTCAAAAATATTGATGGAGACCCTGTTTGTGCCGTGGCTTGTGGTAGACTCTGGAGATAGAGCTACAAATAAGATACATCCTACTTGGCCTTCATGGAGTTTATAATTAGGAGAAGTAGATGTGGCTTCCACAGAAAAGGAGAGGCCAGATGGTGAAAGATAGAGTTGCAAGCAACAGAAACCATCTGAATTCACAATCATTTATAGGAAGGATGTGTAGGAACAGAAAATCCCAAGGAAAGTAGAAGTATAATCTCAAAAGTATAAGAACAAAGAGAAACCAGGAATGGTAGACGATACCTATAATCCCAGCACTCTGGGAGATCCTGCCTCAAAAAAGGAGGTGGAGGCCTGGGGATATCACTCAATGTGAAGGTTCTGGGTTCAATCCCCAGTACCACAAAAAAGTACCAAGAGAGCCGCAGGGATTTGAGAACAAACAGTGACAGGCATTATGTCTGGTTGGAAGAGCTCCATTTTCAGTCTTTATGAAACATTTTTAGTCCTTGTAATAGAATTGCATTTATTGGCCCTAACTTCCATCGTCTACCCACTCCTCAGCCCACCAAAATTTTATCCAAAGTAGGAGTGGTAGTTCCTCAAAGAAAAATCTGGGGGCTGTCACCAGATGTAAATTGTTGCTGAGCAAGTTAAAACAACAGATGGGTGGTAAGTCCAAACAGGGAGTGTTAGTAATTTTTGCAGAGCTACATAGAAAAAGAAAGGCAGAAGCTTAAGAGGCTTATGGGGTGAGAGAAAAGTTCAGCAGTTTTCTAGCAGCTGGAAGCAAGTAAGCAGAATTTAATCTGTGACATACTGAGAAAAGATGTACCTCAAGGCATAGTCTAATCCCCCACCTCCTGCACACGCAGAGCAAGAAGTGTATGTCCACTCCCCTTGCGTGTTGTCACCAACGACACCCACTACACCATTCCATTGGCCTAAGGAGAAATAACATCCAAGTGTGTTCTCTATGGAAATAGAGAAAATTTGGTGTGCCCAGGAGCCTGTTGGTTTGTGACATGGATACTATGGCTTTATTTAGTTTGGTTCTCATATTTTAGTATTTGTCTTTTGGTTTTGCCGATTAAGAATTAGAATGGTGTAGCCTTACGTTAGTGCCCAGCTGGGGGAATGATGTGCTACTCTGGATATCACTGGAATTTATCAGAATTTTTGGAAATGGTAACAAAGAGAGACATTAATTGATGCTCCTGGCCAAAGCCCGTAACTCCATCATCAAATACACTTGGGAAATGCTGCACCCACAATTCCTGTCTTGGATATTCTTTCGTGTTTTGAAGGATATTGCAAAGAAATGTATTTGCTGGCCCATCAAGTCAATAACTTCTTTATGTTGGGGAGACTGTTCTGTCAATAAGCCTCGTAGAGTTTGGAAAGTCCTTAAACAGTTCCAACACACTTTCACACACATATAACTGTCTACTCTCATCATAAACACCTGACTGCACTGAATGCCAAGATCACCATGTAATACAGCTGACTCTCTCAGAAAAATCTAGCCAAAGCATTCTATTCAAGTGTGCTTGTGATTGTTCATAATGATACCCTATATTAAAAATTGGTCTATAAAACACTATCAAAACTTTCAGCTCACAAGTGTCCATACAGACCTTGGGCATGGATGCAACAGATTAGCTGTATCAGCATAGTTGCACAGTGCATTTGTGGCCCTACAGAGCTGGTGGGTGGCTTTGCAGAGAAAGCTACAGAGGAGGGATCAGAGCACAGGTGGACAAGTGAGCCCCTGTGATCCTTGGTCTCTGAAGCTGGCAGGAGGGGCTCAGGGTGGGTACAGAAAGGTTGAGTTCCAGATGCAGAAGAGGAAAGTCAAAGGAGTTCAGTTGTGATAGTTTATACTTTCTATTGTAGTTGGACACCAAAGGTATGGTAGGGGCAGGTGACAGGAGCAGGGTGGGAGTTCTGGTGAGAAATTGAAACAATTACTATGAAGAATGAGACCACGGAGATCATGTGAAGACAAGGAAAAAAACAGGTTATTTCAAAGTGCTGAGGATTAAATTAAAGCTAGAATTGATAAATACATAAAGGATCCACTTGTAAGGGGCAGCAGTTTTGTCCTCTGCTGGTTGGTGGTCCATGCACAGAATCAGAAAGAATGAAAGGTTAGAACGGTGCATTGTTAGAGTCTGGGAGAGCAAGGAGTCCAAGGAAATCAATGATGAGTATGATGCTATTGAAATAATTGCTAGTTGGGTCCAGGGTAGGTGTGGAAGAAAATGAAATTACATAGGTGCATATACAATAGTAATAATTCATCTGAGACTTGGTAGAAGTGGAAAGAAAGCTGGATTTTTATGGAAATCTTATGGATTTCCTATGGCTGCCATAACAGATTCTCATGAACTGAAAACAACATGTTTCAGAAGACCAGAAGTTCAGACTTCTGGACCACCCTTCTCAGCAGGGTTAAATTTTCTGGGTGCTCCGAGGAAGAGCTGTCCAGCCCTGCCCCCTAGGCTCTGGAGGCCATCACTGGTGCTCTTGTCTTGTAGATTATCACTCCACACTCTGCCTTTGATTTTCGGTCATCTTCTTCCCTGTGTGTCTCTTCTAAGAACACTGATCATTGCATTTGAGTCCCACCCTAACTCAGGGTGATCTTATCTACAGGTCCTTAATGACATCTGCACGGATTTTTCAAATAAGGTCACACTCACAGGTCCTACATGGACATGTCTTTGGAGGGTCATCATTCAACCCACCACGTAGTCTTAGAGTGAAGCTTTGGACTCAGCCTTTTCAAAGTCATGAAATTTCAGTGACAAAACCCAAGGCATGGCCATGGGTCAGACTTGCTAAAGAGAAAAGAAAAGGAGGCATTCATGGTTGGCAGGATCAAAAAACTAGGGGCCAGGTTATCAGACAGAGATGGTGTCTATCATAAGAACTGGAAAGCGGAAGACTAGAAGTCTGCACACCCAATGAGTGGAAGGACTGATGCTTTGTGTGTTGGTAAATCACAGAATTAGGATGGGAAAAAGAGGACTGAGGAAAGCATTTCTTAGTTCTGCCTTAGAATTATCAGAAGCCCAGACACCTTTATTTAAAAGGAAAAAAAAAAAGTAGCTGGGCATGGTGGTGCACACCTGTAATCCCAGCACTCTCCAGGCTGAGGCAGGAGGATCGCTACGAGTTCAAGACCAGCCTGGGCTACATAGTGAGTTCCAGGTCAGTCTCAACTACATAATGAGACCCTGTCTCAAAAAAGTGAAACAAACAAACAAACAAAAAAGTTTTAAAAAATCCAAAACTCCTTGCATAGTTCTAATGTGCAGCCAGGATCAAGAAATACTGGTTGAAGAGTAAAACATGACCTTTCCCTCCTTTACCTGGGAAGGAGTTTTCCCCACGTCCTACCTCACCCCGTCCAGTCTCAAATAAACAAGAGGGAGAAGAGTTGCTAACCTGACTAACCTGTGAGCCTGGAACTCTGTGTTTCTTACCACCTACACAAAAGATGTATTTCTGATGTTTTTTCAACAGGAGAAGATGCCAGAAATCATTTCTATAACAGTTGCTATTCCTGCAAAACAAGGCTCGCCCCCCACCAAAATGATTTTCTTAATATATTTGGAGCAACACCTTTTGCCAGAACAGTATTCAATAGCTTACTTTGTATTTTTTGAATATGCAGTAAACACATTAAAAATTTCAAGCAGCGTAAAAGATCACACAATGATAAGTAATTCTCATTTATCCTTGATCTACGCCCACCTCAGCCTGCCTCCGCTGAGGCAACTCGTTTTACCAGTTCCTTATGTATCCTTCCTGAGGTAAACATGCTAAGCCTTGCCTTTCTTTCTTTCTTTCTTTTTTTTTCTCACAGGATAGGATTTTATTTATCGCTATTAAACATCTGGATTTTAAACAGAGTTTTGGACTGGCGGTTCATATCTATCAGCTCATTCAACTTTAGCTCTAGTCTCATCTCCAGTAGCTTTTCCTTGCCTTTCTTTATTAAAAACTTCACAGCTGTTCCTTAGTATCCACCCAGGAATGGCTCTAGGACGTTCCCCCACCCCATAGATGCTAAAATCCTTCTATGCTCTAGTACATTTTCTCTTAGATAAAGAGTGGTGCCTCGGTTTACGAACTCAACCACAATTCTGGTCGCAAACCAAGTTGGACAAGAACCAAATCAAATTCAAAGGATAGGTTCGGTTTGCGACCAGAATCTTGGAGAGAAGTGAGTTCACGAACTGAGGTACCACTGTGTAGTACTTGCCTGTAACCTGTATCTATCCTCCCGTATACTAAGCCATCTCTCTGTTACTCATAATTTCTGATACAGCGTAAATGTTATGCGAAATAGAGATAAAATTGGCAAATCCACAATTTGTGTAACCCATGCTGATGGATGTTTGGGTATTCTCAGTCTGAAAGCAAATCTGTCAAAGATATTTATAAAAATCAACAGTGGTGGAAATGGGTTGTCCGCCAGCCCAGGGACAGGATGCTGCGGTCGGGGAGGCAGGCCTGGGGGTGCAAGAGCCTGAGGCCTGGGCCTGGCAGCCCCGCTAATGATGTGCTGTTTCCACCCCCAGGAGTCTGATGCCCAGGACCCTGGAGACGCAGATCACACTGGAGAAGACGCCCAGTTATTTTGTCACCCAGGAGGCCCCGCGACGGATCTTCAACATGTCCCGGGACACCAAGCTGATTGTGGTGGTGCGGAACCCGGTGACGCGCGCCATCTCTGACTACACACAGACACTGTCCAAGAAGCCCGACATCCCGACCTTCGAGGGCCTCTCCTTCCGCAACCGCAGCCTGGGCCTGGTGGACGCGTCCTGGAACGCCATCCGCATCGGCATGTACGCGCTGCACCTGGAGAGCTGGCTGCGCTACTTCCCGCTGGCTCAGATCCACTTCGTCAGCGGCGAGCGGCTCATCACCGACCCCGCGGGCGAGATGGGGCGCGTGCAGGACTTCCTGGGCATCAAGAGGTTCATCACGGACCAGCACTTCTACTTCAACAAGACCAAAGGGTTCCCTTGCTTGAAAAAAACCCAGTCGAGCCTGCTGCCTCGCTGTCTGGGCAAATCCAAAGGGAGAACTCATGTACAGATCGACCCTGAGGTGATAGACCAACTCCGGGAGTTTTATAGACCTTATAATATTAAATTTTATGAAACCGTTGGGCAGGACTTCCGGTGGGAATAAACCACCCCAGAGTTCTTCCCTGGTCTGCGGTGAGGTTTGCTGTGCAGCCTCTGGGCCTCCTCTCTCAACAGACTTGGCCTCCAGCCACCTCCCCTCTTGGGCTCCCCACTTTTGGACCAGGAAGTTCCCAAGGCTGAGGCCAAGAGATGGGGTTCCCTGGCACTGGTTCTCACCGATCTGCCCTCTTCCACATCCATTTGACTCCAGAATTGTCTCCCTTCCACCTCAAGGGAATTGCTGTGAGGAGAGCGTATCTTCCAGTGATCACAGAAATTATAAGTGGTGGCAGTCCTGTTGCTGTGAACACAGCCCTCTGTTCCTGTCACCGGCCACCCAGGAATGGGCTTGTTAATTCCAGGTGGCATGTACTTTCCCTGAGCTTACTTCCCCAGAGCAGCCCTGGGTGGTGGGATGGGAGAGCATCCTCAGTCCTTCTCAGATCTTACAGAGATCACAAAGCTAGAAGTGCCCCTTTGATGATCATAGAAGGCCATGATTTCTAAACCTGTGGTCCCAACTGTGCTTGGAGGACACTCTTTCAAAACCACTTTGTGGCTCTCCCTGCTCCCTGTGAACAAAAGCACATAACTCTGCTGTTACGGGTACTTTCCTCATGCGAGCTTTCGTGTGTAGCATGCAACGGAATCATGCTTGTCCCTGTGAAATAAATATGGCTCTCTTGTGTCCTTAACTACACTGAACTTTTTCTCTGTAAGCCAGGCCTACTGCGTGCTCAGTTTATTTACCTCCTCCCAGTGCTAAGTGCAGCTGGTGCTGGGATGATCTGGGAGGGCAGTGAGGGGTGCACAGATGGAATTACAGCAGGGAGACGACGCCAGAGTGTGGGGGCAGAGGAAGAGGCTCTTGCTGCAGAGGTCGGCACAGGAAGATCACACAGGGACCTGAATGGGATGTTCTCTTTCCGAAGGATATGTCTGACTGAGACCTTTGCTTAGACACTTTAGGCTGCAAATGCCAAAGTGAAGACTTACAGGTTGAGGGGACAATGGTACATATTTTGCTTGGCCAACACGATGTTTTGAAAATAACTACAAACAGTTAAAGCTGGAAAAACTAGAGGCATTTATAGAAAAATATAGACCCCCCCCCGCTTGGGTACTGGGTATTGAGCCCAAGGCCTTGAGCATGCTAGGCAAGTGCTTTACCATAAGCTACACACCCGGCCCTTTCTAAATTTTATTTGGAGTCAGGGTCTTGCTAAGGTGCTGGGGCTAGCTTCCTTCCTGCTTCAGCCTCCCAATCGCTGGGATTAGAGGCACGCACCACTATGCCTGGCCTCAGCTTCTTGTGTTAAGTTGGAATTTTGGCTACACCAAGCCACCAGTGTGACAACTGGTTGCCACCTTTAGATGGGGCCTTCACTCCTCAGCTTGCTCTCCCGACTTACACCGTCTGCCTGGCCCCTGTAGGCCTTTGCATTCCCGGCCACCCCTCGAATGCATTGGAGAACCTCAGGATAGTGTCCAAGCCCTCCAGCATGGCACGCAATCAGACCCTAACAGGGTTTCTGGCTCCGCTCCGGCTTCTACCCCATCCTCTGCTCCACCCTCACAGAACTATATTGCTTTTTTTTATCTCCAGCCTTTGCCCTCCTGCTCCCCCGTCTCCTCCTGATAGAAAACCACAGAGGCTTCACTCCAGAGTGGCTTCCTTGGTATTTGTGAAGCTTTTCCCCAGCTCAACCGACTCATCAGCTCACTTCTGCTTCCAGTTATACACGACTTGCTGTCAGTGTGTGTTACACTAGGTTCTGCTCATGTGAGAGTCCACCACGGGCCGTGAACCCCCGGAGGACCAGGCCTATCTTGCTAGCCCAGGGTAATGGCATGCAGGGATGGAAACATGTTGGAGGTCTGGGGGAAGGGCAAGGACCTCCCCAGAAACCACACTTCTGGGACTTGCTTCCCAGAGAGTTCTAGAGCACAGGTGGCCAGGAAGGACTGCTGAACCCCAAGAGCCTCTCAGCTTTTGTCTGCTCGGCCAGGCGTGAGAGAAGTTCCCTGAAAAGCAAGATCTGACTTACAAGGGAGAAGACACAGAAGTTTAAAGCATTAAATCTGTGTCTTGGCCCTTCTTTCTGACCTGCAGCTACCCTAGAAGCGTCTTCCAGCCAGGGGGCATCAAATGACTGGGCCCGTGGTACTGAGCAGTCAGGTCTGTGAGTTCACTGTTCTCTGCTTCCTGTATCGGTACAGAGAAGGTATAGGGAAGAGAGAGGAGCCATTATGCTCGGAAGCTGGGACCCTGAACGCCTGGTGACCAGAAGGAGGATGGGTTGTGTGGGGACATTAATAAATCGCCTGTTTTCCCCATCCCAAAGCATTTGGTGGCCTGGGATCCTGAGCCATGTGGTCACCAAAGCTATACCTAGACCAGAATCACCTTGGAACGTAGAGGATAGGGAGAAAGCCTATCCTTTCCCTGTGGAAAGTGAAATGAGCATGTTTATCCTAACTGGGAAGCGGTCAGTCAGACTTGATGAAAACTCTGGATTCTGTGTGCATAACTGCTGCTTTATTCCTCTGCAGTGAAGCATTCTGACTGCCCAGACCAAGTAGCCTCCCAGTTTTAATGAATAGGTATGAGTTTCTTGTAATTAGCATATCAATCATTGTATGCAAAGAGAAGATGCTAAAGTGCCTTAAAAATCCTACTTTCAATGAGTGAAATCTGTAGTCCATGAATCTGCTCAGCAAACTTTGATTTTTAATCCTGTGGAAATGTACCCCATCGCCCAGGCTGCCCCAGGGCAAACTCGCGTAAGTTCCAAATTAGTACAGTTTACGTAGATGAAATTTGACTATTCAGTCTGGGACTAAAAAGGGTCCTCAGGGTGTATTGTGTGCGCGTGCGCATATTTGGCTAAGTTGCTGAAACAGAAGCCCAAAATAGCAGTGCCTTAAAAGACTGAAGAGTGTTCCTCTGTGATGGCAAACCTGGGGTACCTGTGCCGCAGCGGGTTGTTTGGGTCATGAAACTCTCTGGAAGGTTCGCCATCTCTGGCTCAGAGAGTGTGGGGGTCCACAATGCCAGAGACTTAGAATCCTTGCACCCCAGTGCCTGTGATTCAGGATGGCCCACCCTGTGGCTGAAGTCCACACAGCAGAAAGAGAGTGGGAAGTATTGACTGCCCAAATGAGAAGGGCTATTGATTCCGAGCTTGCTACAGCCGGGAGCCTTGCACTCGGCAGAACCTCAGGGACTGGCAGAGGAGGAGGGAGCTTCGTAGCACCAAGGCAAGGCTTCAGGTGTGTCTGACCAAGGCTCTCTGCCTGTGGGAGCTGAGGCGGGCTCATTAGAAGTGGGGCAACTTCCACGATTGGTTTGGGGATATATTTGGCTTTCTCTAGTTGGTCAACTGTAGGGAAGAGAACAGTCATCAACCAAGTCCTGACCACCCTGGGCCAGTTACTACACAGGATTTGGGCCCAAGTTCCACTGCCCTATTACCACCTGGCCATTCTTCCATTGGTACGTTCAGTCTCAGAAGTGAAAAGGGCCACAGGAAGAACACGCCTCTTCTTTTGAGGTTGCACCATCATTTCTATCCACAGATTTCCTGTACTGAGAATGGTTCCCCTAGAGTGCTGCAAAGGGGTGCTGTTACGCTCACTACGTCCTTGGAGATGCAGTTCTCTGGTCATGCACTACAAGCTGGGAAGTGTAATCTTTCATACGCTCGTGTAAAAACAGAGTATCATCCTAGCTTACCAACATTTTCCAATCCATCTTCCAAGTGCCTCCGCCACTTCTCTCATTTGAGAGAACCAGTTGCTCTCTTTATCCTTTTTATTTGACTTCTCAAGGCAAGTACTCCAGCTCTAACTTCTCCCTACTTCAATCTCCACCCAGGAAGCTAGCTCCCTACTGGAGTGGTAGGAGAAAGGGAGACATCTGATTTGTAGTATTTGCCAATTTCCCTGGTGTAAATATACCCACAGTGGCCAATTTCAGGCTACCAGGATGGCATTGCTGAGTGCAAAGTTATAAAGATGTGTGCACAACCTACTCTAGGAGACGAAACTAGCCTGGTCTGGCACACCATGATAGAATCTCTCCTTTCCCTGCTCGCCTGGCCAGGAAACCCCAGACAGAACAAATCAGAGGCCTCAGAGTTTTGTTATGTACTTGTGTGTCTGGTGCCTAGGCTGAGCTATGAGCACTGGACCCCAAACATTTTCAACACTGAGTCGCACTATTTCATCAGCTGATGCAATGGAATCACCACAGAAAGTCTTTAACTCACCTAATGTCAATTCCATTCTGTCAGAGAGAGAAAAGGAGAGAGGACTAAAATAGTATAAACAATTTCATCTACCATTTTGCAGATAAAAGGAGTATGTATTACACAATGACCACAAGAAAGAAGGCTTGAATCTTTTCCCCTTCCACTCCATGCATGCCCTTCACTGCATGGGCATTTTGCCCATAATTATGATTCCAATGTTGTGCATTACTTACCTTTTATACTCCACGGTCCCTTAAATGCAAGTCACTCAGTTTCTTGGAGATCTGCTGGATAAACAGAAATCAGGTGTAATGATGAACCATTCAAATTGTGGTTTGAATTCATATTGAAACCTAATTTCCAAGGAAAGAGCATTAAGAGGTGAAGCCTATAAGAAATGATTAAGTCATGAGAGCTCCTCACTTTTGGGCTAGATCAACAGCTTTAGAAAAGGGCTCAAAGGAGTCATCCCAGCCACACTGTACCATCTCTCTCTTCCACCGTCAGGGGACACAGCATCAAGGTGCCGTCTTGGAAGCAGAAACTAGGTCTTCACAAGACACTGAGCCTGCTGACAGCTTTATCTTGCACTTCCAGAAGAGTGAGAAATAGATACCTATTGCTTATTGCTTATACCCTATCTGTGGTCTCTTATCATAGCAGCACAAATAGACTTAAGATGGACAGTGAAACTGGAAGTGTTGGACCAAGGAGATTTCTCAAGGCAGTTTTGTCCATGTCTATGTCTTTGTCATCGGACCTGTTGACTTTAGAGTTTCATCTCTGAGTAAGATGCAACTCCATTTTTTTTGACCACCACTATTTGGCACTTTACCCCCAAGGTACACATAGGTAATACTCACCAGACTGCAGGAGAAGGAACTAGGTCATGAAGGAAAGATGCAAGAGGAAAGCAGGAGACAATGAAAGCAACTGCTAAATCATCTTAATTCTTACATAAACCTTCCTTCTGCTTGCTACCAGGATTGCATGTCTTGTGCTTCTTCCCCACCCAACAGAACATTTGATTAAAATGCATACAGCAGGCATGAGGGTGTCTGAGGTTCCACTCCCGTGTACCCTGAAGGACTGAAGATGAACCTGCACGGCTGACACATTTCTGTTCGATGCCCACCTGACGGGTGCGTGATTGACTCCCTAATTGAGTTGTGGCTGGCGGGCACATGTCAGGACAGGACCCACCTCAGTGCGAAGAATGTGTGAGGACCATGGCCTGACTGACACATGCTCACCCTTGAATCAGTGTAGCTGGCCTCTTGCCACTCCTGTGGATGGGCTTGTCATACGGCCTTCATGCTTCTAGAAATGGGCTGTTTCTCCCTAGGCCTAGAGGGAGAATGTATCTGTGCCTCTGAGCTTGGCTATGCCTGTAACTCACTTGGGACTCAGCTCTTTTGCACTTGGACAGAAGCATAGCAATGGGATTCTGGGGAATGCAGAAAGGCAAAGATGAAATAGCAGAGGTAAGGAATTCAAGCACAAAGATATTTTAGAAAGGGCTTCACGCCGGGTGTGGTGGCGCACGCCTGTAATCCCAGCACTCGGGAGGCTGAGGCAGGAAGATCACTGTGAGTTTGAGACCAGCCTGGGCTATATAGTGAGTTCCAGGTCAGTCTCAACTACATAGTGAGACCCTGTCTCAAAAAAGAAAGGGCTTCACTTTTTCTCCTGTCTTTGAATAATAACAATAATGTAATTTGTACACAGGTTTAGGGGAATTGAGTTCTTTCACATACTGTATGTCATTTTCTCTTTGTAATAACTGAGATTTTTATTCTTATCTTGCAGAGGAAGAAATTGAAGCTCAGAGATATTTGTTTGTTTGTTTGTTTTTGGTACCAGGGATCGAACCCAGGTCCTTGTGCTTGTGAGGCAGGTGGTGCCAGCACTGAGCTAAATCCCTGGCCCTCAGTGAGTTGTTTTGTTTTTTGTTTTGTTTTGTTTTGTTTTAAGTAGCTTGTCTATATTCCTTGTCTTTATAAAGAGATTTATGCTATAACACTAAAATTTAAGTCATTTTTTAAGAACTGGCCATCGATTAAGTTTGTTCTACCTGAGACTAGAAAATAGGCATACGCTGACTTTTTCCTAGCACTCATTAAGTATTCCCAGATTTAATGTCCGAGAGGCTGAGATAATAACAAGAGATTAGCGCAAATCATAGAGCTGTATCCTATTTTTGAGATGAAGGACCATCACTGAATAATACGTTGTCGAGATCTGACTAAATGGGTTCTTCACAACTAAACTGACCTTTGAGGGGAGTGCAGCTGCTGCTCCAGAGGGCAAGACTAAATCCCAGATTAAAAAGTTAAGAAGGTAGGGTTATCCCAAGAAATGCTATAATTGAGAACTGTTCCATAGTAATTGCACTCAAATGTAGCCCTGAGTTTTCTAATTGTCAAAGCATAGAGAAAAATGGATGGGAAATGTGTTTCATGCGATCTAATGATGCGAGGTTAATGGAGAGAGAATCAATATCCTGAGAGAGAGCTTTATATAAGAGATATTAGTCAACATAATATATCTTTGATAATTACTTTTACAGGAAATCCTAAGATAATCCACATATTAGTATTTTCTATATAAAATAATGACAACCTGAAATAGCAGGGGCAAACATTAATGGTCTATTGAGATGATTCCGTAGGTAATCAAGATGATATGGTGCAAGGATTACAAACTAGGGGCTGTCCAGATTGATAGAGGGTAAAGGGCTGCAGATTTCAGAAAGTAATGATTGTCTTACCCCTCCTAGGACCTCGGCCATCTGATTTTGGCATTTGCATAGGCAAAAAGATCTGCCACTAATGTCACTGGTAAGCACACAAAAGACAACTATTCTTTGGCTTTGTGTAAAACAAAAAGATGCCTTTAATAAAGAAATTTGGCATATAGTCAACAAAAATTATACTTTGTAATGAGAAACAATTAAAAGCTTGATTATTCTACAAAGATGAGAGTTACTAGAGAAACTAGAGCCAAGACTATGTCTCCAAAAGTAGTTCTCAGTTAATTTTTAAAAATTCAATGAATCTCTTCTGTTCGATCTCCAAAATACCATCGTGGCCCCAGCTTTGAGGTTTCTGTGGTTAGAAGGCTCCAAGTTCCACTTTGACCTGGTGGGCACGAATGTTCATCATAGTTCAGTGTAACCCTCAGCTTCCAGATGATATTTTATAATGCATTTTGCCAAAGAGTTGGTGACATTGAGTCACACAAAACTGACAATACTTAGCTGTGCTGACCTGCAGGCAAGGCAAGGCCCTTTGGCTCCTCTTAGTATAAACTTTCAGAAATTCAGATGGCATAGTCAGCTAACAACTTGTAATGTCTGATGTATTTCACTGACTTGAATACTCTCAGAGTCACACTGCCTGGATAAATGTATGAATTTAAAATGTTGTTTTCTCCCCTTGACTATCTTATATAATTATAATAATATTTAAATTCTCATTAATCATTGGCACCAGGATCTTGTTTGCTGGCTAACAGTTCCCTGCCACTCTGGGAAGTCCCTCTTCACAGATCTGTGACACAGGGGATCTTGTCCCAGCCCTGTGCTCCCATCCCCAAGCTACTAGGACAGTTGATTATTTTGGACATTGGTGGGGAAGGGATGGATCATGAGTTCTCATCACCACAAGTGAGGGCTGAACCAAGTTTCTTTCCCTTCTCTGCACTAAATTTCTTTGCCTTTTCTGTTACCAAGTCCATCCGGTGACCTATATAAACATCCCAAATTAGCACTGAGTCAGCTCACTGCGTGCTGTACAAACAGCACCTCTTGGTTCAAAAGAAAGTAATTCAGAGGATGTCTTTTAATGTGGAGATTTTAGAAGGACTCAAATGGAAGATGATTCTTATCTTTTCTGAGGAAGATTTTTAGTGAGGAGGAGCTACTATCCCTTACATAAGCATGTTTAAAGACTAGTTTTGATTTTCTTTTAGTTTTTTTTTTTGAGGCAGGGTCTTGCTCTGTTGTTCAGGCTGGCTTTGAACTCACTACATAGCTCAGGCTGGCCTCAAACTTGCAGCAATCCTCCTGCCTCAGCTTCCCAAGTGCTGGGATCACAGGTATGTGCAACCATGCCTGGCTAATTTTGATTTTTGAGTACAAATGTATAGCAATTAACCTTTGGGGAAAATTTGGCAGCAAATTTTCATTCACAAAGTGAATGAACTTTTGGGGTAGAATAGTCTCATGTTTCCCATGTGGATGCCAAGATTTTTCTGCCCAAAAACAGGTTTTCTTTTTGGCATCATTCACACGGAGCCAGTCCTCCCTGGCACCACTGATCCAGCAGGCCTGACTGTTTCTTATTTCCTCTTGGAACCTGAGAATACAGCCTTGATATCCATGGGTAAAAGGATGCTGGCTTCACTTGGCCATGGGACACATTTCTAGTTCACCTAAAAACCAGACCAACCTGTTAAAGGGCACAGCCCTCATTTCATACCACTAAAAAAATGGAGTTTGCTATCCTATTCTCTCAGATTCTCAGAGTGAATTTAGGAAGATGAAAGAGAGAGAGAGAGAAAAGAAAGAATTAAAAGCCTCAATCAATACTGTTAAGATTGTATGACTCAACCTATAAAGGATTTATATATGTGAAATCCAAGCCAATAATATATCAAGGATCTAAGTTTATTTGTTCTAACTACTCTATTAAGTGAAACTGAATCAAATCACGACCAATGATCAAATAACTGAATTAAAATCTTCCATCCTTCATGGAAGACATTCAGACTCCAGCATCACAAACTATAAAATAAAATAGTTATGCACGAGAGTTGAGTATGGTGGCACACACCTGCAATTTCTGGGAGGAAATTCTTGTGAGGCTGAGGCAGAAGGATCACAAGTTCAAGCCCAGCCTGGGAAACTTGTTGACTTTGTGAGAAACTGTTTTAAAACTTAAAAAACAATAAAAGGGGCTGAGACATAGCTTAGTATGAAAGCCATTGGTTCAATTCCCAGTGCCTCTCTCTCTCTCTCTCTCTCTCTCTCTCACAGACACACACACACACACACACACACACACAGAGTTATACATAAGAATATTAGAAAAGAGACTCTGCTATTCAGTTTGCAAAGACTAAATGTGTCATGGAGGTTTCAGGGGATCTTAATTGTGTTGATGTTTTAGATGTGTTGCATGATTTAAAAACTTCTGACACATTTACAAACTGTTTGTGCTATCATTACCTGAATCTCTGTAAATCATTTTTTATTTGCTTCAATTAAAAGGAAATCTTATACTTC